TCTTCTTCAATTGTCCATAAGCTCGCCACCTTCATGTAGCATATTTCCCATAAGTAATTTCAATTGTAACTTATAAAGTAGTTCTTTTTCTTAAATTCTAACACATCTTTAAAACAAATACCTTTATCGAAGATCGTGATTAATATTATTCATCAAAAATTTCCCAATAGGCACGATATGTTTTAAAAACGTCTTTTCAACCAAATTTAAAATGGTAGAAATGTTACTAGTTGTCATTTGTGTTATGTATAGTAAACAATTCATCATGGCAAAATACACGCTTCAAGAACGTTTGGTTATTTTCCAAAAATTTTATAAAAATAATCTGCCAATGCCACTATGGAGTTATTGGGAGAAAAGTTTGGTGAGTCTGTAATTTCAAAAAATGAAACTGTTAATTGGCATCCAAAAACTGTGATTTAACACCTTTGAACATCTTTTTGTGAGGATATCTGAAGTCGTTGGTCTATGCCGAGAAACCTCGAACAGATATGCTTTGAAATTAAACATCGAATGCTACATTAATGAAATTACACCTGATTTTTTGCAAAAAGTCACCGAGAATTGGGTTCACAGAATTCGATCTTGTAATCGATCTTAGAATGTTGTATGTACATACATCCTTTGCATTCCAAATAAATTTTCTTACTCGTAACCTTAGTTTATCAATTGAACCGAACTAATGTCGAATTCAATTTGAGCAAAATGTAAATAAACCAAGAGCGGTCAGTGTTAACTGTAACCGCCAAATATTTGCATAACCTTTAGCATAAAAACCACTTACCTTTACCCAATAATTGAATACTACCTACGATGATGTTTGGCCGAGGTTTTATCATCAAGGGAGTCGTATTTAATGATCGTCACTAGTGTAAATATCTAACAAATTTGCCGGAAATTAGTGACCTTCTTCTAACATCAAGAGACCTGAAGTCTGATATCTTGTTCAAACAAGTGTCTCGACAAGTGATATTTTCTCCGGTTCCTACCCTTGTCCTCTTTTTTAGTTCAAATACAAAATGTGACGTGACATTGGCCACTAAAGTATTAATTTATAGTGGAAACCGACACTTACCTTCCAATTCGCTTTAAATTCTTAAGGGAGCTCAACCGAAGAAGTTTCTCGAATTGGCCATTACAAAGATAAAAGGTATCTAATAAAAGCGAAAAGTGTTGTCCGGAATGTTTGTTCGATGGTCTGTGAAGTCATATAAAGGCTCGGTAGCTGTCAAGTTTCAATAACACACATCTTGTCCCTTGCGTCGAAACTGGAGACTCTTCCGACAAGAAGAAAGGAGTGGCCCTCGCAACTACGATCGCATTTCAGACAGCTAAATCAGCCCAATTGCTTATAAAAAAAACATTGCAATTCTTTGATTTTTTCATTCAAATTACGTCTCAAAACCTAAATTACACTAATTTACGGTCTTTAATAGCAGTCAAAGAACGCGGCAAGGTGCTATCGATTTCACAAAGAAGACATCTTGTTACACGCCTCCTTTGATACAGTTTTAGTTTAACTTCGACTGTGTAATACCCAGCGCACAAAATAAATACCCACAGCCATTACTGAGAGTATTTGCATGAACCCTACGAAAATTTCCAGCTGCGTGTCATACAGTGATTAGAAAATATGACATAAATCCTGATTTCCCTATGTGCGGCATAACAATTTCGATGGTCGAGACACGCCCGAACAGAATGCACCTCAGCCGTTAGTAATTCGAAACGTTTTAGTAAATAGTAGAGGAAAATTGTAGCGTGGCCAGGTCGATGGAAATCCCACGACGATAAATTTCTTTAATGCTTCTCGAAACGCACAAAACTTTAATGAAATGCACCGTCGCTTCCACCTCGAAAAGCAGTAACAACGCATTATTCCATCAAACATTAAATGGACGACCGGATAAGCTACCCCATGAGGCCCTTCTCCAGAGAATAGGCGTCGATGAAATCACTATTATCGCTAATCAAATTTTTACCAGTTGTAATTAAAGAAAGTTTATTTCTCAGATCGAAATGAATCAAAACTAGTCAAAAGTAAGTTTTGCAAACGGAGCTTGTTGAAGTTTTAAGCAATGGCGAACCATCGTCGTTATTCTCGAAAAATTACGACCCTGATGGTCCAATCTCGTGTTAGGTCTACGGCACAATGCCTCGAGTGGAAAACTCGGAAAGGCACTCGACGTTTACTCGAACAGGCGGACAGCATAAAACAAACTTCCTAGATGCTTTCCACTCGACAGTTTGAAAAGACTATCTGGAGAGTTGCTGCTAGATCCAACTTTTAATGTGTATCGACTAGAAACATCCACGATCTCTTGCATATACGTTGTATAAATAACTTGATTTTGTACACTTTCACCCCCCATAAAAAAACTTTTATTTGTCCGAGTTGGTTTTTGGTCATGTCAATACAAATCAATATCGTTTTTTCGGTCGAGTACGGACTGGTATCGCTCAAAACAATCGAGTGTCACATCCGCAATTCACGGATTTACGATTCAATAGAGATATATTCTGTTGTAGTAAGTGGTTTCATTGTGCCAGCTTTATCTCTTCTGCCACGTGGTGTAACTGACAGATTTCTCAAATATAACCCTGCAAATTGAATAAATTTTGATTGATTGACAGAATAAAGAATGTATGATATTTTTCTCTATACCTGTTTGTTCTTCTCTGTGGAATAACCTCAAGGACGCAAATTTTTTATCTAACGATTATCTGAAAGACAGCTTGGATATTTTCGAAGGACGAACCAATTATCGAATTTTACAATTTAGATAGCGACTGGATGGTAATCCGCGGTCTACATCGAGACACCCCACCTTCTATGCTCATTGTTATGTAGATGCGTCCTAATTTAAATTCAGTATAAATATCACAATGAAGCTTAATCAGCATTTGATGATGTTTCCTGATCGAAAACTTTTCTTGAGGCAGCTCGCGAACATTAATTCAAATTCCAACAGAAAGAACGTCTTGACCTCGGGACCTTTACCAAAGAATAATTCAACTTGTAATGAATTAAACGAGTACTGGAATCAATTACTCTAAAGTTTGGTAATCTATTTACCGAAAGAGCTCTCTCCTGAATGTAGAAAATCACAAAAAGATCGATGGTGGTAAAATTTTTCCCACGCATTTTCGCGCTTGTTAACCTAAATAATGTGAAGTATCTAATGCTGTTTATAATTTATTATTTACTGGGTGACATAAGGGCGGTCTTCCCATTTTCAAAGCATTCCCTCGAGACAGTTTATTGCGAAAAACACTTAGGTAGAACCGAGGGTATATTTAAGAGATTACACTTCATGATAGTTTTATACTTTCCCCCAGATACATATGGGGTCGGCCAACGCTGCACACTTAAAACTTTCGGATTTCCAATGATTACGTATATCACGAAATCACACCGATTACAACATGCGATTTAGCACAAAACGAAAAGTTAAAATTTTATCTCGGTCCTAAATAACTGTTTTCCCTACATTTAGGTATTAGGCTGACCGACACGAAACTAGTTTTTCGTCCTTATAAACAAGTTCTGATAGAACCAACAAAATTTTTCCTTCCTATACTTTGCATGTATGTACATATACTAGACCATGCTATTGGTGTTGACTTTCAACGCTTTCAGAGAAGAAACTTTAGCTCTTTCCCTACATTATTATTAAACGTGGAGAAGCAAGGTTTAGTGGTGTTTGGTCGACATTATGAAGTCGTGACAGTGGCGTTATTAAACTAGAGTTCGGCCACGCAACATTTGCGATCGTGCCACCAAAACACGGATGTACCCTTTCCTGCTGTGAAAATCAAACAAAACGCAGACTAGACACTAGTTTTATTAGAAACTAGGTGTAATCCGACAAGAAAGGAAGCATAAACTAACTACATATAGATTCTTAATTATTCAGATTTTCCGGTAAAAATGCTACAATCACGCTATTATCGACTTGTGTGTAAACATCTGCCGTGCATCTGGTTTCGTATGAAAATTCCGGTAAACTACCGGCGACGGTCAAGGGCCGTCGACTGAAAATATATAGTGCACGCAAACCCCAGGAAACTCGCTCCCGGTACGGCCCACACATAACGTGACGCATGCACGCCATAACCGGACTGGTAGGTTTTTATTATTTCTTGCATATAATTAGGTGGCGTGCCTTATCCCACCTTAATGTGGCTCGAACGAGCTACTTAAAGCCATAAACACCGAACGTACATTTGCCACTAACGAGCTTTTATTCTGATGCGTTGCTCGTACAAAAGTTCACTGTTTCATCAGCTTAAAGAAGAAGAAACGGTCGCAAAGTTAGCTGCTCCGTATATAGCTTCTCAAGAAAAAACAAAATTATTGCGTTTTGTACCCTCAGTTAAAACTGTGAAAAGATTAGGTACGGTACTGTTTTGTTATTCAATAAAGAATATTCCGTCCGTCCGAGTTAACCGTGAGTTAAGTTACCTTTTGTTGTGCCTTACATAATTTATAATTACGAGTAACACCACGTAAAATTATTAATAATAGCAACCAAGTGGTAAACATGCCAACATAATGGTGTTTAGATTGAAGATTATTGTCATCAGGGGAAAGTCGTTAAAACAGGTTTTACAACCAAATATCTTCAATAATAAATGCTAGTCCATTAGACCCAAAATTTGTAAATCATTTAAAATTATATATATTTCAAAAGAGATGACTTGGGTAATTCATAAATACAAATCCTCAAAAATTTTGTCGTAAAAAATCGTACATTCCGCAAACGCTCATAAAGGTTCTCTTTATGATTATGGCAAGCGACGCAGCGCCACGCCGTCGCCATAAAATATAATTCCATTCGAAGCTTTACAGTTAAAAAAAAAGGCGACACGTTACCCAGATCTAACCAGAACGGCACCTTTAATGCGATGACCGAACATTAAAAAAAAACACCAGGAGCCTATAGATGACACTGTGATTCCCCGTAGCGGAGGATAAGCCAAAAAAATGATATACTCACCGGCTCTGACGTCGACTCCGACAACCTGAACGTACTGCTGATCTGAAAAAAAAATCGAAAATCAGTCACTTGATTCTAAAGCAAGTCGACATCCATTTGAAAACCGTTTACTTTTATTTAAAAAGCTCAGCGTAAGCTCGGTCACGTTCAATCCTCATTGCCTCACGTGTGGATATTCACGATGTAATGTCACAAAGCAGCATTCCTAAACATGTTGAAAATGTACCGGAGAAAACATATAACAACATTTAGAACCTCTCTTCCGGAAAGGATGGATACACACACATCTACCCACTTAGTTTTGAATGTGCGAAAGGTAGGCAGCCATTTCGAGAGGAAGCGTGTTACGAATAAAAATAATAAGTATTCACATATTACATTATGCCTACACACATTTAATTTTTGGTGGACCTTTTATTTAATCGTTATACAATGGGATATATGATGAAGAACCATATTATTATTTAAACTAGCTGAATGTTCGGTTACTTTTAATTAAATTTAATTTATAACGAGTTTTCCTACTCGCTAGGATAATTTAGCTTTATTAAAAGTTCACAGCCAGCAGCTAACTGCAGGAATTCTTTTGGCCAAAATAAGTTTAACCTTAGACTCATGAGTCATGTAATTTCGTACAGAAAAAAACAGCACAATTGTGCTGTAAAATAAAATTGCTTACTTTCAAATTTTAAGCCTGAGGAAAGTCTAAAAATAAGAATACCAAGCAAAAAGTACTGCCAGCTTAGCATTAACTGTACATCAGAAAATGGAATTAGAGTCGGGTCCAAATGAGCATTTATACAAGTAAAAATTGACACTTTGCGAGTGAAGTTACCAATCCCCAAGTCTCCGGTAAGCATAGACGAGTAAGCTTCACTGCGGATTATATTTAAACCCTAGTTTAGGACCACTAAATGTCGTCTGTAAGCTAAACCGATAGGGCAGATATGCATCTGGCGACGTAGTTATATGAAGATAAAGACGCGTCCGGGGACGGCAAATTCTCATGCAGACCATCGCTGCGGCTTAAAATATCGCATAATAACAAGTAGAAAGCGTATATGGTCTCACGGCGAGTCGTGTTCGCTTTAAAATTGCAAGGGGGCATGTATACATATGCACGAGAAGAGAAGCGTGAAGAGACACCGGCTGAAAATTTAAAGAGGGAAATAATCGCTTTGTGTGCCCTCTAACTGTTAAACATTTACGAGGCGTAAAGCTCAAAGAAAAGCGAGCAATTTTCTGAGAGTCGAGTGACGCACAAACAATAACCGAGGAATTATAGACGAGATGGAAAAAATCCTAATTACTTAACTCCCGAACGAAATATACGTCTTACGTAAAACATAAACATCAAGAACGTTGTGTATTATTATTAAGTCTTAAAAGACTAAAAGCTCTTTTTCTTGTCACGGTATTATTTTAAAAGATTAAAATTGTTTTAACAGTTCCGTTGAGCTGTTCAACACATGTTCTTGTCATCTCCTTTTATAGTCGTTAGCAGGAGCAATTTATAAAAGTGGTGAGAAAAAAAAGACTGACGTCCTACTAAAACTTGATTTAGTAGTTGTATACGTGATTATTGCTCGAGTCTGCAACTTGATGAGTTTTACTAAACGAGTATTATCCGCAAAGAAGTGCAACGAAAATTAATACCGGTACCGGGAAGCTTAATTCGTTATACCGCATTTGCAACTTACCGAGAAGTAATGAAAAAACTTTAACGCGGAAAAATTTCATCGGCGATAACTAGGGAAAACAAGAACAGTATCCTTATGGATTTATACAAGAAGTTCCCAAGACGACCAGTCGGCGGACAAAATAATTAACCGCTTTATATTAAAATTGCTTTTTAATCCGGGGATATAAATTAAAGATTGTATTCAAATTAAAGCAAATATTAAATTATCCACGTTTCTTTCATTATTCTCTCATGAAAATTTAAACCAAAAACGTTGTATCGTTAGGACAAATTCAATTTAATCAAAGCAACTAGTTTTAATTGCTTTGAGACCTATTCAATTATGAATTTGAAATAAAAATGAAAACAGCCCCTCCAATGTTACTTTATAAACACAAAGCTGTACACCGAATAGATATCACAATGATGTATCGAGTGATTCAAAAGTGTGTGGCATAATTTAACCATTTTTTCATACCAATTTTTGAAAACCTATAATTTTACTATTTTTTGAGGTAGGACAATAAATACTATGATATCTATTATCATTTATAGAGTGGTATTCGTAGTATAAATTATGACTCACATTTTTAAATCACCTGTATATGATACAATAAAGTGTCTCAAAAATTTTTAAAAAAATAATAAAAAAGTAAAGCAAGTACAACACAAATAAAAGCAAAGAAAGTATCTGAAGTACAAACAACTAAAAACAAAAAAATTCCCAATTTCCAAATTAGAGTCAGGATTGCCAACAGATTCATTCACGTGAATCAGTTTGTAGTATATGTGCAACCCCTAAGAAAACCTTGATGTCGTATTGAGCGTCGATGTTCCTCATATGCCTCGTATCGATTTTGAAATATTCCTCGCATTATTTATAATTAAAAAAAAATAATTAAAGGAATTATTTTGTAAATCAATATGTTCCGAGGCCACGTAGACATTTAAAATTAGTTGATCCTGTGACCCTCCACAACCTATTCAATCACTACTTGGAAAATTCTTCACGGTTAATTCTTTCGGATTATTGACTCGAATGAAATATTACTGCATTCGCATTTAACAACAGACTCTCTGGCAAGTAAATATCGAAACTTTATTATCTGTCATTTCGTTTTATTGTTGTTTTATGTAACCGAAGGGAGCCATGAAAATTTACCATCATCGTGGTGAGTTTGATGAAGGGTTTTTGGGTCGAAGATTGCGACCTTCTTGCAGTCACGAAACTTTGTAGAATAAACGCTGTTTAAATAATGTTTGCCAAGATAAAACTCAAGCGTAAAAATTTAGAAGATCACCTACATTAAGGAAATGTAAATAACAGAGTTAGCTGCTCATTATTTAGTAACGATGCTTTTACCGCAGTCTTGGAGTTGTCACGGCCGCCACCTGATGTCCGGGTAAAGCTTTTCCGGCGACAGCTCTTACTTCTATTACGTTCCAACGTAAACTTGTCACTTGACAGACGTACAAATTTAAAAAAAATAATAAACAAAAATTACCACGAAAAAGAATAACGTTAGCAAAATGCTAAATTTAATAAAACGACTACCAATTTAAAAAAGAACGAAACCCCACAATATGAACTGTGTAATTATCCGGTGCCTCACTTGACAAAACTTTAAATTTACTTTTATTTCGAATATTATAATTTGTGTGCAGACGAGTAAAGTTTGTTATTGCTGAAGTTAAGTCACTCGGAGGAATTTTATCAGATGGGAAGCTAAAACCGCAAAATATCGTCGAGTTGATTCTTTGAAAATAAATTTCCGCGCACACGCCGCCGCCGTCGCGGCGCTGCGAAATCCAATTACAACTTGACTAAAATAACTCGGAGCAATTTAACACGAAGATTTCGTTACGATAAGTGCAATAATCTTCACGTACGGAATAATAGTGCTCCAGACTCATTATTGTCAATGTTCTTTTTTTTGTTCGTTCGTTATTGGACTGTTGCAGTTAAAGTCGTAGATGATGAAAAGAAACGCTTCAGTCTATAACAATTACGTTACACCTTTACAGCTGAAGTGAGTGGACGTTGTTTACAGACCGGCTTTTTACACCTTCATCTAGACTGTTTGCCACTGAGGTTTACTTTACGTAATGGTTTATTCCAGTTTTATGAAAACGTATTCTAAAAATTTTGTCTTGATTCATATTCCACAATTTCCAAATTTACTTTATCTAGTATTCGTTTATTCAATCGAACAAGCTATTAATTATTCTTTTGGTAACACTATGCTCCCTGTTTTAAAACAACAAACATCAAAGGCAATAGATTTTACTAGACTAAATAAATACGATGAACAAAATAAAAGTCATTACTTCCACTGCAAGAGGAGAATACAAAATAAGCACAACAGTGATTCAATTTCCACCATTTAGGTGGAGAAACAGTAAAACCGAGGTCGTAAAAATAGCCTTCTCATATTATAAAGCTATCAGTTTCTGCGTGAAGGGTCTAATTCAATTTAACAATCGTCTTTGTGTCTCCATTCTCTTCAGATGAACCAAACTTCATTTCTATAACTCTGACTCTGATAATTCTTTCTCCAAAAACCTGAAATAAGTTTCTCGACAATTAAAAGCCACTATCTCGTTCAAAAGAAAAGAACACATTTTCACTAAACGAAAGATGAGAAATTACAATGAGAATGTCCGCCGAGAAACCTACACCGCATGTTTCATCCACTTTAAAACGTCAGATTCCTGTCGGAATTAAGCAAGTTCCAGAAGCGTCGTCGTAGTAACCACGTAAAGAGGCTTGGAAATGCGACCGCTTCTTAACTTTCCGTAGAGATGATGGAATGTCGTTGGCGAGAGGTGACAATAATGCCTGAAACGTTGGCAATGAATTATGCAATGAATAAGCTTTGCTAATCTGTGGCTGGAGCTCGACTCCGGACTTTACTGTTCCCGAGGGCAGAGGGACGTGCCGTCGCTGCCTTTACTTAACAGAACGTTTTCCCCCCACAATTTCCCGGTGTTGGTGGTTCTCATCGCCGACCTATTATGCATTTCGTTCCTGTATGTGGTCACGTATCGATTTTCTAGGTATTAACAAAAATCACCGTCGGCACGGTTCTGCATTAGAACAAAGCAATTTTGATGGAAAATTATGTAAATGTTTCGAGTTTGGACTGTAACACACGTTTCCCCTTTTCGCACAGAATTAAATAATGTTTAACGAGAAGATATCATACCATACCATACCATACCATAGACTGCTATGTTAAATTTAATTCAAATACGAAAGCCGTTTTAGACATAGCGAAAGCACACGTGGTTTTAGCATAAAGTAATTTTCAATTGAAATATGAATGTAGATACCACCCACTTTAGTAGAAATCCCGCAGAT